TCCTGCCGCAAGACACTTCAACGCATAGTGAGAGCAGCTGAGAAGATCGTTGGTGCCTCTCTCCCCTCCCTTCAGGACATTTACAACACCCGTCTCACCCGCAAAGCCCTCTGCATTGCAGGTGATCCCACCCACCCGACACACAGCTTCTTCAGTCTGCTGCCATCAGGGAGGAGACTGCGGAGTCTCCAGGCCAGGACCAGCAGACTGAAGGACAGCTTCATCCATCAGGCTGTCAGGAAGCTGAACTCCCTCCCGACCTTGCCCCCCCTCCCCTCTTTTGCCCCACGCACCTCTGAACTCTGACCCTCTGATGGACTCTCCCACTCCCCCCCCTCCCAAATACACACACACTGTCAATTTAATCAGTCGAAATAAGCTCTTTTGCACTACAAATCATTGTTTTTTGCACTACAATCACTTTATCTGCACTGTTTTACTTTTACTGGTTTGCACTCTATCTGCCATATGCCTTGTGCTTTATATATATATATATATATATATATATATTTTTACATTTTACCTTATTTGTATAGTTGTATTTTGTATTTAATCTGTACCTATCTATATTTGTTATCTGTATGCACCAAGGGTCTGAGAGTAACGCAATTTCAATTCTCTGTGTGTATGTGCTGTACATGTGGAAGAATTGACAATAAAGCAGACTTGACTTGACTTGACTTGACAATATCCATTTTTCAAAATATTGTCGTTTGTCACAGAATAAAGTAAGTCGTATAGAAGAATTGTCATTTCTGTTTTGACTATCTCTTTAAGAAATATAAATATAATCAAGTGTAAATTGAAACTACATAAATTATCAGTATTGTCTTGACTGCAATATTATTAGTTATATTTAAATACTAATTTAGTGCTGTTTGAGTTTTACTGAGTAGGTGTGTTATTATATTAGCTTGAAACTTTCTTAGATTTTAGTTTGTATCCCATGTTTGATTATTTGTAGACGTGCACCTTGGGGTCAAAAGGTCATTCCTTTAAAAAAAATGTCCTGCCAGATAATGTTCTTTGAATTACTGTCCAGTATCTGTCAGCCCAGAATAAACATGCAGGATTGTACCACCTTGCTGATGCTGCCAATGTCAATTCCCTGCCAAATAGCTCTGGAGGTCAACCTTCATTTCGATAATACCGCTTCCAGGAGGTTCTCTCGTCGTAATGGCTTTCTTTCAGATCCCAAATGAGCGGCCATCTGTTATACAGGCCTTGCTGAGATGAGCTCCAGCACGTGATGTACCATCAAACATAAGTGCTCGTTTCTTGATTGTTTTGCCCCTGCTTAAGAATGGCCAGTTGTTGGTTTCATCGATTAATCCATAACATGCACTGAGATGGAAGATGGTTCAATAGTGGATTGTGTTTTCGACGTCGGATTGTTATCGTCTTCGACCCACAACCTTCTCGAGGGGTACAACTGGTCATCAGATCGAGTCTTTGTATTGATAGACAAGCAGGCTGGTATCCCACCACCTCTAACCTGAGGTCACAACATGCTCTCAGCAAGGGATTCATGACTGTGAGTAGCTTTATCAGGTCATTAAGTGCTGGTTTGTAATTTACCAGTGTAATTGGAATAGATAAGATCTGTTAATAGAGTCTAAGAGTCTCTGTTAAACCTGTGCAGTGGACATCTCGGATGATAAGATTGTATAGTTCTGATTTGGGTCAGCATTCAGAGGGTAAAACCAGTCATGTAGGGGGAAAGCTTTTGGGATGTACTGTCTAACCGAGGGCTGTGTTAGAAAGCTTCGTAGTGAAGTGATTTATGACCTTCTCACACTTCCTCACTGGGGTTTGAGTCCTCGAGGGCCTGTGAAAAGACACAGCAGTGCACAAATATGCTGTCCTTTCACCTGCAGTGCAGTTTCTGCCTTAAAGATTTTTTGATTTGCATCGTCTCCGTGTACAACACCTTTATTTGCTTACTGTTTGCATCTACTCTCTGTGTATCGAGTGTTGTGTTTAAGGTATATGAAAAATTTGGGCCTCAGCAGAATGTGAGCTGCAAAGACTGTGGTTACATGAATGTGGTCATAGCCATGCTGATTCTAAGAAATGTACCGGTAGCACAACTTTCTTATTTATCAAGAATAAATGTTACTGAGCATTGTAATACAGTGAAATATGTATGTATGTGTGATGTATGTATACACTCTATAATTGTTTTTGTATATATATTTATTTATTCTTGTATATTTGTTTATGTACACAGGTAAATAAAATGCAGTACATAGCAACAAAAAAATCAACAACATGCACAAAATAAAAAATAGAACAAATAGAAAAATATGAAATATAATAAATTGTATGTAATTTTTGTATTTATGTAATTGTATTCTTTTTTAAATATGTATGTATTATGTATGTATAGACTATAATTGTGTGTGTGTGTGTATGTATGTATACACACACACACACACACAGATTGGTTGCATTTGTGAGAAAAGGCCACGTAATAAAGGCCTGCGATTTTGCAGCATGGAGACTGTTCTGCCTAAAAAGCAGCGTAGCTGCAAGAGGGAAGGTCTTTTGTTTGATTTGAACATCCTTTTTCCTTTTCCTGTTTCTCTTGACACCTCGTTGTGGTCCTCTCTCACTTGTGGAAATGAAGGGGCATGGCATGCTTGCATCTCCCACATGTATTTCTTCTGACAGATTCTTGGACGTGAGATCCATGTTTTTTAAAAGCCAGATATCCGAAAGCAAATATATCAGACATTCATGTTTTTCCTGTTCAAAAACTTCTCACCATCTGACGAGAGTAACTTACTCTCTTGGGGATTTTCCATCATTTCATTGGCTCTCACTAAGCGAAAAGCGTGTGAATGCTCTGCTGGAGGTGTTTGAGATGTTCCGTACAAATATTGCACACAGTAATTCTGTCATGTTGTGTCTTCAACCTCACTAAACAAAGCCAGGGCTGTTAAATGAGGAGCACAGCTGGTTGGCAGCTTTGCATTTCTTGAAGAGTGTTGCATGCAGTGCCAGACTTTAATTATTGAAGTGCAAAAAGCAGTGTCGCCCAACCTGCTGCGTTCATAATCAGTATAAATGCAAAAAATGCTAGCGAGCATCTTTCGTGTTGTTGAAGAGTTATGCCAGTTACCATATGCTATTGTTTTCTTTCCCAAATTTGTTTCATAATATCAGCACCTTAATTGGCTGCGTTCATTTTTCTTTTTATCATATTGTTGGAGAATCTTGCTGGGTAATGATGCCTAAAATGGTTGTGTGAATTGACTTGAAGTAGGACAGATAGGTAGATATGATTGTTTTTCTTTGCATTTTGGGGACGAAATCAAATCAGCAGTTTTCAATTAAAATAAAAAAAATAAAAACGGATTAGTTCTTGCTGTCTCTCTTTCTTTATTGTACTTATTAATAAAATATATTTAAATCATATGAATCTAAAATAAATAATTATTAGTTATTTAAAACAAATTATTAAAATATTTTAATTAAATAGTAAAATATAATAATAATAATAATATCAGTCAAATTGTTTTTATTTTAACAATTTTTGTACATTTGTCAAATAAAATAATACAAAATGAAAATGCTATTTTTGAAGTAATAATAATAATAATAATAATAGGAATAGCAATCAAATAGTTTTAAATTCAACAATTTTTTTTTAATTTGTAACAAAACAAAATAAAAATACTATTATTGAAGTAATAATAATAATAATAATAATAGAAATAGCAATCAAATTGTTTTAAATTCAAACTTGTTTGGTAAATTAACAAAATAATACAAAATAAAAATACTATTATTTAATAATAATAATAATAATAATAATAAAAATAACTATACATTTGTAAAATAAAATAATGCAAAATAAAAATACTATTTTTGAAGAAATAATAACAATAATAATTGTGGTTCAATAATATTAATAGTTTTATTTAATATTATTATTATTATTATTATTACATATTATATTAACGAGCTACATTTTATTGCACAAACATGTTTCATATTTGAGTTATCATTGTCCCAATGTTTAGTGAATCTGCATTTTTGTTCACAGTAAACTGATTCATTATATAACTGATTCATATAGAACTAAAGAGCCCAGAGTCAATGTATTTTCTTCACGGTCTTTGAAAACACCAGAGAGTTATTGAGCATCTTCCTTTCTTTTATCCACTTTGTTGTTTTCACGTTATCTACTAAAATACTGAAGTAATCTGACATGGCCTGTGTAAGATCTGTTCGCCTTAACCTTGCCTTCCCTTTGAGGGTGTTAATCTCGCAAGGTTTTTATTTGTTGTAGCCATGGTTTGTTTGCTCTCTACGCAGGATTTTCCCTTAGGCAGGGCATTAGGGTCCATATCTCAAAGGCTCTGAGGTCTTTATCATAAAGCTATTGGTTTATTTCAGCTCTGGTCCTAGAGGTAACCCCACAGGAAGCATTCTCAAATGGTTTGTTGTCATATTTATCCACAGGTAGTCTCAAAGGAGCCACCATTGTGGATGCGCTGGACACGCTCTACATTATGGAGATGTATGACGAGTTTGAGGCTGCTACCGAGTGGGTGGAAATGAACCTAGACTTTAACATGGTAAGACTCAAACCTTTTATACTAACTTTTGTTGAGCCGGTTGATTTTTATCCTTACAAATATTTCTTTGCTATAATTTTGACCCTCAATGATAGAACAGAATTACTTTTTTTGCTGAAGCTTTGAGAACTCGTCTATGTCGTCTTCAGTGTTGATGTAATAAATCAACCTTCACACTTTTTGGGAGCTTTTAGCATCGGCACTTGTAAATCAGCCATAAGACTCACAAGTCTGGTGCTAATATTTGACGAGACTTTCCACATCTGAGCCACCAACAAAACATTTCAAGGCTTCATAAACTATCTTGTCTCATGCTTTCTGCCATTTTTCAGCACTAAATTTTGATTCCAGACTCCCAGTCCCTCAACTTTGTTTGTTAACTCCATAAATTACAATTCAGTCCAGATGTTAACTTGACTTAAATGAGTCATATCATGAGGAATCATTTTCTGTGTAGCTTTCAGATTTAAAAAAATCTGTTAGAAACAAACAGCAGTGTTTTCAAGTCCCTGCTTGTTTTAGTGATTTGTTTGAAGGATCTTGTGCAAAATTGAACTCTTTTGTAAATGTAATAAAATAATACAAAATAAAATATTATTATTGAAAGAAATAATAATAGAAATCACAATCAAATTATTTTAAATTCAACTAATTTTTGTAAATTTGTAAAATAAAATACAAAATAAAAATACTATTATTGAAGAAATTGTAGTAGTAGTAGTAATAATAATAATAATAATAATAATAATAATAGGTAATAGTAATAATAGAAATAGCAAACAAATTGTTTTAAATATTTTTACATTTGTTATATTATTATTGAAGTAATACTATTATTAATTAGTGATACTATTGTAATACTATTATTGAAGAAATAATAATAATAATAATAATAATGTTTGTTAACTCCATGAATTACAGTTCAGTCTAGATGTTTTTTTTTCAGAAATGACTTAAATGAGTCGTATTATGAGGAATC